AATCCATGGCTCCTTTAATGATGTCTTGAATTCAAGGGTTGGAAGTCGGGATTTTGCAAAGGGATGAAGGTTATATATAGATCCAGGGTAGCTGCACATGAGACAACTGGTATGTGCTCGGTACCCGGGCAAAATGTGACAGAGTGAAGGAGCACCCTCTTTGGGATGAGGTTGGAAGAAGAAGAAAGTTTTCCTATTCTAGGTTGATAATCACTTACCTGACACCTCCCCCACCCCCAAACTGATCCTATTGATGAAGGATCTTCTGAGCAATAAAATTGTGTTTAATCAACCTTATGCAAATTAGCTTCTGTTGTCCAGAAGCACGGAGGGATTCCTTCCCTCAGACATTTCCAGCACTTAGATGAATGACAACGTTAGAACCCATTCATCTAGATAACGCTTGAGCACCTGTGATGCCCTGGGCCTTGTGCTGGAGGTCGCGAGGAAGAGTAAGATGTGGCCTCTGTTGCGGGAGTACTTACAGTTCTATGGGAAATTGACACAAAAGCAAGGATAACTCAGGGAAATGAGCAACACCCTGTTAGCTTCATGAACCAAGTGCCATGGAGATTAGTCCAGGAATCCAGGGGTCTTCCAGGAGTCCTTTGAGCACCTACTGGTACTGGTTTCTCCCAGGGGAGTGAAAAATCAGGCAACCTGCTGCTATCTCCACCCACCTAGCCTCACTCAGTTTCTCACCCTGGATTTTCTGGAACTGGTGATGATAGAGACCACCTGTCGCACAGTGCTTCCCTATGAGGGGACCAAGTTTCTCTGCCAAAAAGAGAGAGAGAAAAAAGCAACAACGAGAGAGAGAGAGAGAGAGAGAGAGAGAGAGAGAGAGAGAGAGAGATAAGGCACATGGTTTACTGATTCTTTACTCCAGAGCCACTGGTTGGGGTGCGGAACCAAACATCCAGAAAGAACAGCGGGGAGGACATTCTGTGCCCCCCAGCCCGCTCCCAATTCCCAAAACCCCACTTTTTCTCCCTGAAACAAAGTTCCTTAGTCTGGGGCCTTCGGACGCTGGATGTAATGCCTAAAATGTGTCGCAAGGTGGCAACATTGTGGCGAGAAATAGAGCAAAAAATCCAGGGTTGTTTTTTTCAAAACATATTTTCCCTATTAATGTTTCATTTAACTTAATTAGAATCTGGTAAACTAATTAAAGTAGCTACGAGCCCCGCAATCAGCAATAATTCGTATAATTATTGATAATTACATCCATACCAATCGTTTGGTTATTAACATTTGGGGGGGAACAAACCACTTCTGAAGGGACGCCGGAGCCCAGGAGGGCTTTTGCGACAGAGCTTTCTGGGTCGGATCCGCCTACACCTCCGATCCTCAGAGATTCCGGCCCAGATGGGGCGCCCTTGCAGTCAGGCCCCAGCCGCCTACGGCTTTTTTTTCTTCACTTCGTTTGGGAAATTCGGAAACGAAAGGCGAAAAGGAGTGTTTGCTAGGCTCGTCTGCGTGGGCCGAGCCACTGACCTTCCTGCCCGGGTAGTCACCGTTTCCCATTTTACCAAGAAGGAAAGTGCGGTTGCGCCAAAGGGGAGAGGCGCGTGCACCCGCCCACGGCAGCGCTGCAGCCCTGCACCAGCTGCGCTCGCCCTGAGGACGCGAGTCACTTCCTCTCCGGACCCCAGTTTCACTGTTGGTGCCGCGAAGCCTGATCTGGTCCGGCCCACCCCCAGGAAATGTTCCTGAAGGGTCCCTGCTGGGGGACCGCGCGTCTCAGGGCCGCTTCCCTCTGCGACGCCTCGCCATTTACCCGGCGCCCTCACCGCCACTCTCCCTCCTGTCCCCTTCATCTAGCCCTCGGAATAGGTGCCCTGGGGGCTGGCTTCCTGCCTTGACCGTGCGATGGGCCTCCCAGCCCGCGCCCCCTCCGGGGGTCTCCGATCGCGCCCCCCTAGTCGGCTCCGCTCCCGGCCTCTAGACGACCCGCCGTCAAACTTCCCGGCCATCTGCTCTCCAGGCGGCGTGGGACCGCAGCCCGCCTCCAGGGTCTCCGCTCCGGGTGCCCCAGGCCGCCCCAAGTTCGATGGGCAGCGAGAGCCTGGGTGTGTCGCGAGGGCGGGGTCGTAGGGCGCTGGTGCCCGCGGCGGACCGCTGCTGCCCAGCTCTGCGGGGCAGGGCCTGAATGTTATGCTACAGAGCCCGACACCAAGGCCTAGGAACGACCTGCTGGTCAGCCGAGGGCTGCGTGGTTCCCAATACTGGGCCCTCTCCCACTGCATTTATTTATTTTTAAATATATTTTTATTGATTTCAGAGAGGAAGGGAGAGGGAGAGAGAGAAACATCAATGATGAGAGAGAATCATTGATCAGCTGCCTCCTGCACGTCCCCAACTGGGGATGGAGCCTGCAACCCGGGCATGTGCCCTTGACTGGAATGGAACCTGGGGACCCTTCAGTCCGCAGGCCGTCGCTCTATCCACTGAGCCAAGCTGGCTAGGGCTCCCCCTGTATTTACCCTTTCCTTCTACCCCACGGCAAAGTGAGCAGCACTTCCCATCCCTTTCCTA